GGGAGAGAGGAAGGGAGATGTTTTTTCTTGGGGCTAAGTTGAGCCATAATGATTTCTCAGATTTTATTGTTTTGTTGTTCCTTCCATTTACATTGCTGTACATCAACCCCTTTATTTTATGGAATGGGAAATTCTGGTCTAGAGAAGGGAAAGGACTTGCCCAAGGTCTCATGACAGTAAACCCAGATACAGAACCAGACATACACCTCCATCACAGGCCTGGGCCAAAGAAAGTACTCTCTAAGAAGTGGTTCTGTACAGAAAGAACCGCCAGCTGTTCTCATCCAGAACAAACAGGGGGTGCCATGACTGGATTCTGCATCATTCTCTCGTAAGGCATACCCAGCTACTTCCTCACAGCACCTGTCCATTCATTATCCCCGTTTTTTGTTTTTTTTTTTGCTTTTTGATGAGGCAATCACGGTTAAGTGACTTGCCCAGGGTCACACAGCTAGTAAGTATCAAGTGGCTGAGGCCACATTTGAACTCCAGTCCTCTTGATTCCAAGGTTGGAACTCTATCCACCACACAAACCTAGCTGCCCGACATTACCCCCATTTTATAGAGGGGTAGAGTAAAGCTGAGAGTCGAGGGTGGCCCTTGACCAGGATCATATACTTTATACCAGAGGTTCTCCAAGTGTGGTCTGGGTGAGGTCAAAACTATTTTCACAATAAAATTAAGATGTTTTAATTTCTAATACACCAACTATTGATATTTCTAATACACATAAACAGAAGCTCTTTAGGGGGTCCTTAAAAAGAGTCTAAAGGGGTCCTGAGTCCAAAAAGTCTGAGAACCCTAGGATGGAGAAATAGAAAGGCCCTTAGCAACCATCTAATCCAGGAATGGGGAACACATGGTCTGGAGGCCACAGTCCAAGGACCGCACTTGAGGACCTAAAGGGCCACATGTGGCTTCCAGGATGAAGGTTTCCCACCTCTGATTATCCAACCCTTTCATTTATAACAGAGGAAACTCAGGTCCAGAGAAGGGAAGGAGCTTCTCTAAAATGATGTAACTAGCAGGTAGTGGAGCTGGGAGGCAAACCCAGGTCAGCAAGCTGGGGAAGTAGACAGTGGCCTGGACTTCAACTAAGGGAGAGTTCAAATCCAGCCTTAGAGGCTTACTAGCTGTGTGACCCTGAACAAGTCACTGAACTGCTGTGCCTCAGTTTCCCTATCTGTAAAGTGGGGATAATAATAGCACCTACTTCCCAAGGTTGTTGTGAGGATCAAATGAGATAATATTTGTAAAGAGCTAGTGATTATTGTCTAAGCACACCAATTGAGATGTCGCAAGGAGGAAACTGAATTATATAGGATATACTGTCCTACTGCTACTCTAACCAAGGACCTTCAGAGATTCATAGGATCTGGAGGTGAAAGAGGCCTTAAAACTCTTCTAGTTTAATCCCCTTCATTTCAAGAAAGGGCCTTAGTGTCACAGCTAAGCAGTGGAAAGGAGCTTAAACAACATCTAATTCTACAGACAGGGAAAGTGAGCCCCAGAAATGGGAAGGGATTTGGGTCACAAAATATCAAAAGTGGAAAGGGACCTTAGAAAAAATTCAGCCCAAAGTTCCTCATTTTTCAGAGGGAAAAACATCAACCTGAAAAGAAGTGACGTACTCAGGGTCACATATATCATTCAGAGCGGAAAAAAAGCAACATAGATTTTTGGTTATTTCCCCAACTGACATTTTGTTTTCTTCCAATGTCTAAACTTTTCTAAAAATGTGAATGTTCTAATAATAGTATCAATAATTATGACCACAGCTCCTGTTGTGTGTTGATAAAAACTCTGGATAGGCAGCACATGGTACAAGTCTTGTCAAACCCATTTTTAGTGGAAAACCAAGGCTCCAAAAAGTCCAAATATATATGTCCAGGCCCGCCCAGCCCGCCAGATCCTCCCCCCATCCCACACACACCTGAGTAGCCACTGCGAACTCTGCTGAAGCTAAAGTAGGAGCTGTATCCGTCCACTATGGCCAGGCGCTCTTCCAGCAGGTCCCCTGGAGGGCAGAGAAGAAATGGCCAGGTTGGGGGAGATCGGCCAGTGTGCGCAGGGCCCTGGAACTGCCTGACCCCCAAGCCAAAGCCACAGAAGCAGCCCCGAAGCATTTGATGGAGTTGGGGGCATCCTGTGGAATGGTGGCAGCACTGGGGGAGTGGGGGAAGAGAGGGAAGGAGGTCTCTGGAGGGTGGGTTCTATTGCACAGCTATTGGGTCAGCTGGACTCTGGTGGGGATAACTTTGGGGGGGTGTCAGTGTGGTGCTTTGGGGAGGTGATCTTTGGGGACAGGGGAACAGCTGCCTAGAAGAGGGTGGCCCTTGGAGGCAGGGTCAGAGAGGATTAGGGGGATGGATCCTCTATGGGGTGGGGTCAGATCTGGGGGAGGGGGAGGATGATTTTTTGGGAGGAGACGGCCCTGGGAGCAGTGCTAAAAGTGTGTGGGGGGGAGGGTGTCCTCTATGGGGCAGGGTAGCCCTGCGGGTAAGGTGGTTTTGGGGGAGAACGTGATCTTTGGGGGTAGGGGGAGCACTAGAAGGGAGGGGTCCTGTCCCGGGCGGCGGGAGGCGAGGGTCTCCTGGGGGCGGGGCTGGCCTTGTTCTTGGGGCTCCGGCCCGGCGGGGCGGGGTGTGGAGTTGGGAGGAGGGCCACGCCTCGATTCTCACGAGTGACTCGGGTCTCCTGCAAGCAGGTCACATCGGCCCCCAGGGAGTCGAGCAGGCGCCTCAGGGCCTCAGGCGATCGCCGGATCCCATTTATGTTCCAGCTCACCAGCCGCATGTCGCCCCGCGCGCCTTCTCTGCCCGCCTCGCGCAGGTTGCTGGGCGGGGCAGGGCGGGGCGGGGTCTGCCCTTAGGGGAAGAGAGCACCGTTGGCTGCCGGGCGCGGGCGCGGGCGCAGGCGCAGGCGCACTCTGAGGCGGGCCTCCTTTGGCGGGAGGGGCGGGGGGGGGGGGGGGGGGAGGGGCGGGGAGGGGTCTGCCCTTCGGGGAAGAGAGCCCCGTTGGCCGCCGGGCGCGGGCGCGGGCGCAGGCGCACTCTGAGGCGGGCCTCCTTTGGCGGGAGGGGCGGGGGGGGGGGGGGGGGGAGGGGCGGGGAGGGGTCTGCCCTTCGGGGAAGAGAGCCCCGTTGGCCG